ATATATATATATATATATATATATATATATATATATATATATATATATATATATATATATAATACAAAATACATATACATATACGTCTAACAACCATCTGTAGTCCGAATGAGAGGTACAGATGAACGTTTAGACTCGATCTGAAGTCTAGAAACAGAGTAGACGGTAACCCCTTGGTAAAGATATCAGGGTATTGAGAAGAAGATGAGACATGCAGAACACGAATCTGCCCCAAGGCCACTTTATCACACACAAAATGGATAACAATCTCAATGTGTTTGGTGTGTTGATGTTGAACTGGATTGGTGGATAGGTAAATGGCGCTAACATTGTCACAGTAAACAAGAGAAGCAATCACAGGCGGATAAAAGAGCTCCTGAAGTAGGTTACGAAGCCAACTGGTCTCGGCAACGGCATTCGCAACACCGCGATACTCAGTTTCAGCACTAGACCGTGAAATGGTACCTTGGTGTTTGGAAGACCAAGAGAGAAGATCATGTCTGAGGAATACATAGTAGCCAAAATTGGATTGTCTAGAGGTAGGACAACATGTCCAATCAGCATCAAAGTATGTAACTAGACCGCGAGCAAGAGAAGCATACAACTGAAAACCATGATCAAGAGTACCACGAACATAGCGAAGGATTCGCTTGAGAGTAGTGAAGTGAGGTTCTCAGGGATTGTCACAACCAGGAAATTCTATGCTTTTGTAATCATTATCAAGGACAAAATTGTAAACAAAATATGGAAGCATGCATGATGTTTATTCAATGACAACAAAATTACATCAAAAACTCTATACAAACACTTCAAATGGTCAACGAAAGATTGGAAACCCTAAAAAATTCTGGTTTAACTTCGTTATGGTGTAACACCGTAATTTTTCAAACAGATTTTTCATTTCAAAATCGCATACTTTTCATAACATATTGTATAGAAATCTCGTTTATTAAAAAAACAAACACAACTCCATTAATAATCCAGGATCCTCAAAATACAACTCTTTCTCTGGTGTGTACAATCAAGCCGGTGCCGTCCCGCGATCCTGAGAAAACCTGAAACACATAACACATAACACTGTAAGCACAAAACTTAGTGAGTTCCCCAAAATACCACATATAACACATATTAGCCATTCGAGGCTATAACTTTGTGGGCCTACTGGTCCTAACTCTGTGGACCCTCTGGTCCTAACTCTGTGGACCTTTCGGTCCTAACTGTGTAAACTCTGGAATACACACAGCATAAATCACATAGAAATAATGCAGTGCAACACATCACATACATAGCATACAAGATACTCTGTCACATAACTCTAATTACCACTCAAGGTAAAGTATAGTGACAAGACTCACCTGACCAACAGCAAGTAAAGACCCCGCTCCCGAATCTCGAACTAGCCTCCACCTAACACAAGG